CACCTTTAGTTGTGAAGTATCCACGCTCTCAACAGGGGCTGGACTAAGCTGTGGACACGCTACACACTCTCTGATCACTTTTAGTTGTGAAGTATCCACACTCACAACATGGCCAGGACTAAGCTGTGGACACGCTACACACTCTCTGATCACCTTTAGTTGTGAAGTATCCACACTCTCTGTTCACCTTTAGTTGTGAAGTATCCACACTCTCAACAGGGGCTGGACTGAGCTGTGGACACGCTACACACTCCACACTCTCTGATCACCTTTAGTTGTGAAGTATCCACACTCTCTGTTCACCTTTAGTTGTGAAGTATCCACACTCTCAACAGGGGCAGGACTAAGCTGTGGTGACGCTACACACTCTCTGATCACCTTTAGTTGTGAAGTATCCACACTCTCAACATGGCCAGAACTAAGCTGTGGACACGCTACACACTCCACCCTCTCTGATCACCTTTAGTTGTGAAGTATCCACACTCTCAACAGGGCTGGACTGAGCTGTGGACACGCTACACACTACACACTCTCTGATCACCTTTAGTTGTGAAGTATCCACACTCTCAACAGGGGCTGGACTGAGCTGTGGACACGCTACACACTACACACTCTCTGATCACCTTTAGTTGTGAAGTATCCACACTCTCAACAGGGGCTGGACTGAGCTGTGGACACACTACACACTCTCTGATCACCTTTAGTTGTGAAGTATCCACACTCTCAACAGGGGCTGGACTAAGCTGTGGACACGCTACACACTACACACTCTCTGATCACCTTGAGTTGTGAAGTATCCACACTCTCAACAGGGGCTGGACTGAACTGTGGACACGCTACACACTACATACTCTCTGATCACCTTTAGTTGTGAAGTATCCACACTCTCAACAGGGCTGGACTGAGCTGTGGACACGCTACACACTACACATTCTCTGATCACCTTTAGTTGTGAAGTATCCACACTCTCAAAAAGGGGCTGGACAGAGCTGTGGACACGCTACACACTACACACTCTCTGATCACCTTTAGTTCTGAAGTATCCACATTCTCAACAGGGGCTGGACTGAGCTGTGGACACGCTACACACTACATACTCTCTGATCACCTTTAGTTGTGAAGTATCCACACTCTCAACAGGGGCTGGACTGAGCTGTGGACACGCTACACACTACACACTCTCTGATCACCTTTAGTTGTGAAGTATCCACACTCTCAACAGGGGCTGAAATAAGCTGTGGACACGCTACACACTACACACTCTCTGATCACCTTTAGTTGTGAAGTATCCACACTCTCAACAGGGGCTGGACTGAGCTGTGGACACGCTACACACTACATACTCTCTGATCACCTTTAGTTGTGAAGTATCCACACTCTCAACAGGGCTGGACTGAGCTGTGGACACGCTACACACTACACATTCTCTGATCACCTTTAGTTGTGAAGTATCCACACTCTCAACAGGGGCTGGACTAAGCTGTGGACACACTACACACTCTCTGATCACCTTTAGTTGTGAAGCATTCACACTCTCAACATGGCCAGGACTAAGCTGTGGACACGCTACACACTCTCTGATCACCTTTAGTTGTGAAGTATCCACACTCTCAACAGGGGCTGGACTGAGCTGTGGACAGGCTACACACTACACACTCACTGATCACCTTTAGTTGTGAAGTATCCACACTCTCAAAAAGGGGCTGGACAGAGCTGTGGACACGCTACACACTACACACTCTCTGATCACCTTTAGTTGTGAAGTATCCACACTCTCAACAGGGGCTGGACTAAGCTGTGGACACACTACACACTCACTGATCACCTTTAGTTGTGAAGTATCCACACTCTCAACAGGGGCTGGACTAAGCTGTGGAGACTCTACACACTACACACTCTCTGATAACCTTAAGTTGTGAAGTATCCACACTCTCAACAGGGGCCGGACTAAGCTGTGGACAGGCTACACACTCTCTGATCACCTTTAGTTGTGAAGTATCCACACTCTCAACAGGGGCTGGACTAAGCTGTGGACACGCTACACACTCTCTGATCACTTTTAGTTGTGAAGTATCCACACTCACAACATGGCCAGGACTAAGCTGTGGACACGCTACACACTCTCTGATCACCTTTAGTTGTGAAGTATCCACACTCTCTGTTCACCTTTAGTTGTGAAGTATCCACACTCTCAACAGGGGCTGGACTGAGCTGTGGACACGCTACACACTCCACACTCTCTGATCACCTTTAGTTGTGAAGTATCCACACTCTCTGTTCACCTTTAGTTGTGAAGTATCCACACTCTCAACAGGGGCTGGACTAAGCTGTGGAGACGCTACACACTCTCTGATCACCTTTAGTTGTGAAGTATCCACACTCTCAACATGGCCAGAACTAAGCTGTGGACACGCTACACACTCCACCCTCTCTGATCACCTTTAGTTGTGAAGTATCCACACTCTCAACAGGGGCTGGACTGAGCTGTGGACACGCTACACACTCCACACTCTCTGATCACCTTTAGTTGTGAAATATCCACATTCTCAACAGGGGCTGGACTGAGCTGTGGACACGCTACACACTCCACACTCTCTGATCACCTTTAGTTGTGAAGTATCCACACTCTCAACAGGGGCTGGACTGAGCTGTGGACACGCTACACACTACACACTCTCTGATCACCTTTAGTTGTGAAGTATCCACACTCTCAACAGGGGCTGGACTAAGCTGTGGACACACTACACACTCTCTGATCACCTTTAGTTGTGAAGTATTCACACTCTCAACATGGCCAGGACTAAGCTGTGGACACGCTACACACTCTCTGATCACCTTTAGTTGTGAAGTATCCACACTCTCAACAGGGGCTGGACTGAGCTGTGGACAGGCTACACACTCTCTGATCACCTTTAGTTGTGAAGTATCCACACTCTCAACAGGGGCTGGACTGAGCTGTGGACACGCTACACACTACACACTCTCTGATCACCTTTAGTTGTGAAGTATCCACACTCTCAACAGGGGCATGACTGAGCTGTGGACATGCTACACACTCAACACTCTCTGATCACCTTTAGTTGTGAAGTATCCACGCTCTCAACAGGGGCTGGACTAAGCTGTGGACACGCTACACACTGTCTGATCACTTTTAGTTGTGAAGTATCCACACTCACAACATGGCCAGGACTAAGCTGTGGACACGCTACACACTCTCTGATCACCTTTAGTTGTGAAGTATCCACACTCTCTGTTCACCTTTAGTTGTGAAGTATCCACACTCTCAACAGGGGCTGGACTGAGCTGTGGACACGCTACACACTCCACACTCTCTGATCACCTTTAGTTGTGAAGTATCCACACTCTCTGTTCACCTTTAGTTGTGAAGTATCCACACTCTCAACAGGGGCAGGACTAAGCTGTGGAGACGCTACACACTCTCTGATCACCTTTAGTTGTGAAGTATCCACACTCTCAACATGGCCAGAACTAAGCTGTGGACACGCTACACACTCCACACTCTCTGATCACCTTTAGTTGTGAAGTATCCACACTCTCAACAGGGGCTGGACTGAGCTGTGGACACGCTACACACTACACACTCTCTGATCACCTTTAGTTGTGAAATATCCACATTCTCAACAGGGGCTGGACTGAGCTGTGGACACGCTACACACTCCACACTCTCTGATCACCTTTAGTTGTGAAGTATCCACACTCTCAACAGGGGCTGGACTGAGCTGTGGACACGCTACACACTACACACTCTCTGATCACCTTTAGTTGTGAAGTATCCACACTCTCAACAGGGGCTGGACTGAGCTGTGGACACGCTACACACTCTCTGATCACCTTTAGTTGTGAAGTATCCACACTCTCAACAGGGGCTGGACTGAGCTGTGGACACGCTACACACTACACACTCTCTGATCACCTTTAGTTGTGAAGTATCCCCACTCTCAACAGGGGCTGGACTGAGCTGTGGACACGCTACACACTACATACTCTCTGATCACCTTTAGTTGTGAAGTATCCACACTCTCAACAGGGGCTGGACTGAGCTGTGGACACGCTACACACTACACACTCTCTGATCACCTTTAGTTGTGAAGTATCCACACTCTCAACAGGGGCTGGACTGAGCTGTGGACACGCTACACACTACACACTCTCTGATCACCTTTAGTTGTGAAGTATCCACACTCTCAACAGGGGCTGGACTAAGCTGTGGACACGCTACACACTACACACTCTCTGATCACCTTTAGTTGTGAAGTATCCACACTCTCAACAGGGGCTGGACTGAGCTGTGGACACGCTACACACTACATACTCTCTGATCACCTTTAGTTGTGAAGTATCCACACTCTCAACAGGGCTGGACTGAGCTGTGGACACGCTACACACTACACATTCTCTGATCACCTTTAGTTGTGAAGTATCCACACTCCCAAAAAGGGGCTGGACAGAGCTGTGGACACGCTACACACTACACACTCTCTGATCACCTTTAGTTGTGAAGTATCTACACTCTCAACAGGGGCTGGACTGAGCTGTCGACACGCTACACACTACACACTCTCTGATCACCTTTAGTTCTGAAGTATCCACATTCTCAACAGGGGCTGGACTGAGCTGTGGACACGCTACACACTCCACACTCTCTGATTACCTTTAGTTGTGAAGTATCCACACTCTCAACAGGGGCTGGACTGAGCTGTGGACACGCTACACACTACACACTCTCTGATCACCTTTAGTTGTGAAGTATCCACACTCTCAACAGGGGCTGGACTGAGCTGTGGACACGCTACACACTCCACACTCTCTGATCACCTTTAGTTGTGAAGTATCCACACTCTCAACAGGGGCTGGACTGAGCTGTGGACACGCTACACACTCCACACTCTCTGATCACCTTTAGTTGTGAAGTATCCACACTCTCAACAGGGGCTGGACAGAGCTGTGGACACGCTACACACTCCACACTCTCTGATCACCTTTAGTTGTGAAGTACTTCAGCTGGAACCCCATGGCTGTGTCGTCCATGTTCGTCATGAACAGCAAGAACAGCGACCTGCCGGAGCTCACATATGTTGGGGTCTCATCGCTGCACCACCTGCCCAGCTCTCTGCCCTCTCGGTCACCTGCACAAACAAACACACACACATGTAAGAATGCTGACACAGGACACACACACATGTAAGCATGCTGACACAGGACACACACACATGTAAGCATGCTGACACAGGACACACACACATGTAAGCATGCTGACACAGAACACACACACATGTAAGCATGCTGACACAGGACACACACACATGTAAGCATGCTGACACAGGACACACACACATGTAAGCATGCTGACACAGGACACACACACATGTAAGCATGCTGACACAGGACACACACACATGTAAGCATGCTGACACAGGACACACACACATGTAAGCATGCTGACACAGGACAAATACACACACATGTAAGCATGCTGACACAGAACACACACACATGTAAGCATGCTGACACAGGACACACACACATGTAAGCATGCTGACACAGGACACACACACATGTAAGCATGCTGACACAGGACACACACACATGTAAGCATGCTGACACAGGACACACACACATGTAAGCATGCTGACACAGGACAAATACACACACATGTAAGCATGCTGACACAGAACACACACACATGTAAGCATGCTGACACAGGACACACACACATGTAAGCATGCTGACACAGGACACACACACATGTAAGCATGCTGACACAGGACACACACACATGTAAGCATGCTGACACAGGACACACACACATGTAAGCATGCTGACACAGAACACACACACATGTAAGCATGCTGACACAGGACACACACACATGTAAGCATGCTGACACAGGACACACACACATGTAAGCATGCTGACACAGGACACACACACATGTAAACATGCTGACACAGGACACACACACATGTAAGCATGCTGACACAGGACACACACACATGTAAGCATGCTGACACAGGACACACACACATGTAAACATGCTGACACAGGACACACACACATGTAAGCATGCTGACACAGGACACACACATGTAAGCATGCTGACACAGGACACAGCTACAGTCACCTACCATCATGTACAGCTAACTAAGAGACACCTACCATCATGTACAGCTACAGACACCTACCATCATGTACAGCTACAGACACCTACCATCATGTACAGCAACAGACACCTACCATCATGTACAGCTAGAGTCACCTACCATCGTGTACAGCTAACTAAGAGACACCTACCATCATGTACAGCTAACTAAGAGACACCTACCATCATGTACAGCTACAGTCACCGACCATCATGTACAGCTACAGACACCTACCATCATGTACAGCTACAGACACCTACCATCATGTACAGCTACAGACACCTACCATCATGTACAGCTACAGTCACCTACCATCATGTACAGCTACAGTCACCTACCATCGTGTACAGCTACAGTCACCTACCATCATGTACAGCTACAGTCACCTACCATCATGTACAGCTACAGTCACCTACCATCATGTACAGCTACAGTCATCTACCATCATGTACAGCTACAGTCACCTACCATCATGTACAGCTACAGACACCTACCATCATGTACAGATACAGACACCTACCATCATGTACAGCTACAGTCACCTACCATCATGTACAGCTACAGACACCTACCGTCCTGTACATGCAGCTACAGTCACCTACCATCATGTACAGATACAGACACCTACCATCATGTACAGCTACAGTCACCTACCATCATGTACAGCTAGAGTCACCTACCATCGTGTACAGCTACAGACACCTACCATCATGTACAGCTACAGTCACCTACCATCATGTACAGCTACAGTCACCTACCATCATGTACAGCTACAGTCACCTACCATCATGTACAGCTACAGTCACCTACCATCATGTACAGCTACGTAGTCGTTCCTGCAGTTGTTGCTGTTCTCTATGCTGGAGACACCTACCGTCATGTACAGCTACGTAGTCGTTCCTGCAGTTGTTGCTGTTCTCTATGCTGGAGACACCTACCGTCATGTACAGCTACGTAGTCGTTCCTGCACTTGTTGCTGTTCTCTATGCTGGAGACACCTACCGTCATGTACAGCTACGTAGTCGTTCCTGCAGTTGTTGCTGTTCTCTATGCTGGAGACACCTACCGTCATGTACAGCTACGTAGTCGTTCCTGCAGTTGTTGCTGTTCTCTGTGCTGGAGACACCTACCGTCATGTACAGCTACGTAGTCGTTCCTGCAGTTGTTGCTGTTCTCTGTGCTGGAGACACCTACCGTCATGTACAGCTACGTAGTCGTTCCTGCAGTTGTTGCTGTTCTCTGTGCTTGAGACACCTACCGTCATGTACAGCTACGTAGTCGTTCCTGCACTTGTTGCTGTTCTCTGTGCTGGAGACACCTACCGTCATGTACAGCTACGTAGTCGTTCCTGCAGTTGTTGCTGTTCTCTGTGCTGGAGACACCTACCGTCATGTACAGCTACGTAGTCGTTCCTGCAGTTGTTGCTGTTCTCTGTGCTGGAGACACCTACCGTCATGTACAGCTACGTAGTCGTTCCTGCAGTTGTTGCTGTTCTCTGTGCTGGAGACACCTACCGTCATGTACAGCTACGTAGTCGTTCCTGCAGTTGTTGCTGTTCTCTATGCTGGAGACACCTACCGTCATGTACAGCTACGTAGTCGTTCCTGCAGTTGTTGCTGTTCTCTATGCTGGAGACACCTACCGTCATGTACAGCTACGTAGTCGTTCCTGCAGTTGTTGCTGTTCTCTATGCTGGAGACACCTACCGTCATGTACAGCTACGTAGTCGTTCCTGCAGTTGTTGCTGTTCTCTATGCTGGAGACACCTACCGTCTCGACAGCTACGTAGTCGTTCCTGCAGTTGTTGCTGTTCTCTATGCTGGAGACACCTACCGTCATGTACAGCTACGTAGTCGTTCCTGCAGTTGTTGCTGTTCTCTATGCTGGAGACACCTACCGTCATGTACAGCTACGTAGTCGTTCCTGCAGTTGTTGCTGTTCTCTATGCTGGAGACACCTACCGTCATGTACAGCTACGTAGTCGTTCCTGCAGTTGTTGCTGTTCTCTGTGCTGGAGACACCTACCGTCATGTACAGCTACGTAGTCGTTCCTGCAGTTGTTGCTGTTCTCTGTGCTGGAGACACCTACCGTCATGTACAGCTACGTAGTCGTTCCTGCAGTTGTTGCTGTTCTCTGTGCTGGAGACACCTACCGTCATGTACAGCTACGTAGTCGTTCCTGCAGTTGTTGCTGTTCTCTGTGCTGGAGACACCTACCGTCATGTACAGCTACGTAGTCGTTCCTGCAGTTGTTGCTGTTCTCTGTGCTGGAGACACCTACCGTCATGTACAGCTACGTAGTCGTTCCTGCAGTTGTTGCTGTTCTCTATGCTGGAGACACCTACCGTCATGTACAGCTACGTAGTCGTTCCTGCAGTTGTTGCTGTTCTCTATGCTGGAGACACCTACCGTCATGTACAGCTACGTAGTCGTTCCTGCAGTTGTTGCTGTTCTCTATGCTGGAGACACCTACCGTCATGTACAGCTACGTAGTCGTTCCTGCAGTTGTTGCTGTTCTCTATGCTGGAGACACCTACCGTCATGTACAGCTACGTAGTCGTTCCTGCAGTTGTTGCTGTTCTCTATGCTGGAGACACCTACCGTCATGTACAGCTACGTAGTCGTTCCTGCAGTTGTTGCTGTTCTCTATGCTGGAGACACCTACCGTCATGTACAGCTACGTAGTCGTTCCTGCAGTTGTTGCTGTTCTCTATGCTTGATCGGATCACTGTGACCTGGACCTGTCCTGATGGGTCCGAGGCGGTGACCCTCCACCAACACTCCAGGTTACTGCAACACACACGCTCGAGTGTACCATCTTGGTGTAGGTGTAGGTGCAGGTGTAGCTGTAGGTGAAGGCGCAGGTGAAGGTGTAGGTGTAGGTGTGGATGTGTTCGTGCAGGTGTAGGTGTTGGTGTAGGGGTAGGTGTTGGTGTAGGTGTAGGTGTAGGTGTAGGTGTAGGTGCAGGTGCAGGTGCAGGTGTAGGTGTAGGTGCAGGTGTAGGTGTAGGTGTAGATGTTGGTGTAGATGTGTAGATGTGTTGGTGTAGGTTAAGGTGAAGGTGCAGGTGTTGGTGTAGGTGTAGGTGTAGGTGTAGGTGTTGGTGTTGGTGTAGGGGTAGGTGTTGGTGTTGGTGTAGGTTAAGGTGAAGGTGCAGGTGCAGGTGCTGGTGTAGGTGTAGGAGTAGGTGTAGGTGTTGGTGTTGGTGTAGGGGTAGGTGTTGGTGTAGGTGCAGGTGTAGGTGCAGGTGAAGGTGTAGGTGCAGGTGTAGGTGTAGGAGTAGGTGTAGGTGTTGGTGTAGATGTGTAGGTGTAGGTGTAGATGTGTAGGTGTAGGGGTAGGTGTTGGTGTAGGTGTAGGTGTAGGTGCAGGTGAAGGTGTAGGTGCAGGTGCAGGTGTAGGTGTAGGTGCAGGTGTAGATGTTGGTGTAGATGTGTAGATGTGTTGGTGTAGGTTAAGGTGAAGGTGCAGGTGTAGGTGTTGGTGTAGGTGTAGGTGTAGGTGTTGGTGTTGGTGTAGGTTAAGGTGAAGGTGCAGGTGTAGGTGTTGGTGTTGGTGTAGGGGTAGGTGTTGGTGTAGGTGCAGGTGTAGGTGCAGGTGAAGGTGTAGGTGCAGGTGTAGGTGCAGGTGTAGGTGTAGGTGCAGGTGTAGGTGCAGGTGCAGGTGCAGGTGTAGGTGCAGGTGTAGGTGTAGGTGAAGGTGCAGGTGCAGGTGTAGGTGTAGGTGTAGGTGTAGGTGTAGGTGCAGGTGTAGGTGTAGATGTTGGTGTAGATGTGTAGATGTGTTGGTGTAGGTTAAGGTGAAGGTGCAGGTGTAGGTGCAGGTGTAGGTGTAGGTGTAGATGTAGGTGCAGGTGTAGGTGTAGGTGTAGGTGCAGGTGTAGGTGTAGGTGTAGATGTTGGTGTAGATGTGTTGGTGTAGGTTAAGGTGAAGGTGTAGGTGTAGGTGCAGGTGTAGGTGTAGGTGTAGGTGTAGGTGTAGATGTTGGTGTAGGTGTAGGTGCAGGTGAAGGTGAAGGTGCAGGTGTAGGTGTAGGTGTAGGTGTAGGTGTAGGTGTAGATGTAGGTGTAGGTGTAGGTGTGTAGTTGTAGGTGAAGGTGTAGATGTGTAGGTGTAGGTGTAGGTGTAGGTGTAGATGTTGGTGTAGATGTGTTGGTGTATGTGAAGGTGAAGGTGTAGATGTGTAGGTGTAGGTGTAGGTGTAGGTGTAGATGTAGGTGCAGGTGTAGGTGAAGGTGCAGGTGCAGGTGCAGGTGCAGGTGGTGGTGTTGGTGTTGGTGTTGGTGTAGGTGTAGGTGTAGGTGTAGGTGTTGGTGTAGGTGTAGGTGTAGGTGTAGGTGTTGGTGTAGGTGTAGGTGTTGGTGTAGGTGTAGGTGTTGGTGTAGGTGTAGGTGTAGGTGTAGGTGTAGGTGTTGGTGTAGGTGTAGGTGTAGGTGTAGGTGCAGGTGTTGGTGTTGGTGTAGGTGTAGGTGTAGGTGTAGGTGTTGGTGTTGGTGTTGGTGTAGGTGTAGGTGTAGGTGTAGGTGTAGGTGTTGGTGTAGGTGCAGGTGCAGGTGTTGGTGTAGGTGTAGGTGTAGGTGTAGGTGTTGGTGTTGGTGTAGGTGTAGGTGTAGGTGTAGGTGTTGGTGTAGGTGTTGGTGTTGGTGTAGGTGTAGGTGTTGGTGTTGGTGTAGGTGCAGGTGTAGGTGTAGGTGTAGGTGCAGGTGCAGGTGCAGGTGCAGGTGGTGGTGTAGGTGTAGGTGATGGTGTTGGTGTAGGTGTAGGTGTAGGTGCAGGTGCAGGGGTAGGTGTTGGTGTAGGTGTTGGTGTAGGTGTAGGTGCAGGTGCAGGTGTAGGTGTAGGTGTAGGTGTAGGTGTAGGTGTTGGTGTAGGTGTAGGTGTAGGTGTTGGTGTTGGTGTTGGTGTAGGTGTAGGTGTAGGTGTAGGTGTTGGTGTTGGTGTTGGTGTAGGTGTAGGAGTAGGTGTAGGTGAAGGTGTAGATGTTGGTGTAGGTGTTGGTGTAGGTGTTGGTGTAGGTGTAGGTGTGTAGTTGTAGGTGAAGGTGTAGATGTGTAGGTGTAGGTGTAGGTGTAGGTGTAGGTGTAGATGTAGGTGTAGGTGTAGGTGTGTAGTTGTAGGTGAAGGTGTAGATGTGTAGGTGTTGGTGTTGGTGTTGGTGTTGGTGTAGGTTAAGGTGAAGGTGTAGGTGTAGGTGCAGGTGTAGGTGTAGGTGTAGGTGTAGGTGTAGATGTTGGTGTAGGTGTAGGTGCAGGTGAAGGTGAAGGTGCAGGTGTAGGTGTAGGTGTAGGTGTAGGTGTAGATGTAGGTGTAGGTGTAGGTGTGTAGTTGTAGGTGAAGGTGTAGATGTGTAGGTGTAGGTGTAGGTGTAGGTGTAGATGTTGGTGTAGATGTGTTGGTGTATGTGTAGGTGTAGGTGTAGGTGCAGGTGCAGGTGCAGGTGCAGGTGGTGGTGTTGGTGTTGGTGTAGGTGTTGGTGTTGGTGTTGGTGTAGGTGTAGGTGTAGGTGTAGGTGTAGGTGTTGGTGTAGGTGCAGGTGCAGGTGTTGGTGTAGGTGTAGGTGTAGGTGTAGGTGTTGGTGTTGGTGTAGGTGTAGGTGTAGGTGTAGGTGTTGGTGTAGGTGTTGGTGTTGGTGTAGGTGTAGGTGCAGGTGCAGGTGTAGGTGTAGGTGTAGGTGTAGGTGTTGGTGTAGGTGTAGGTGTAGGTGTTGGTGTTGGTGTTGGTGTAGGTGTAGGTGTAGGTGTAGGTGTTGGTGTTGGTGTTGGTGTAGGTGTAGGAGTAGGTGTAGGTGAAGGTGTAGATGTTGGTGTAGGTGTTGGTGTAGGTGTTGGTGTAGGTGTAGGTGTAGATGTAGGTGTAGGTGTTGGTGTTGTAGACAGTCATGTCATCACTCACCTTGGGTAGGAGTTTGGGTACCCGGGGGACTGGAGATATTGAGCATCCTGGTAAGATGACAGATCCTTGTTACACACATTCTCAGCTGTCTTATCTGTAAGAGATGTCAGTTTCAAGGTATAGGGTTAGGTGAAAGCAATGAGGAAACGGTTGTGATCGGGCCTACATGACAGAAGCAGTCTGCTGTTGTTGGGAAGAGAGGCCCTACATGACAGAAGCAGTCTGCTGTAGTCAGGAACAAAGGCCCTACATGACAGAAGCAGTCTGCTGTAGTCAGGAACAGAGGCCTTACATGACAGAAGCAGTCTGCTGTAGTCAGGAACAGAGGCCCTACATGACAGGAGCAGTCTGCTGTAGTCAGGAACAGAGGCCCTACATGACAGAAGCAGTCTGCTGTAGTCAGGAACAGAGGCCCTACGTGACAGAAGTAGTCTGCTGTAGTCAGGAACAGAGGCCCTACATGACAGGAGTAGTCTGCTGTAGTCAGGACCAGAGGCCCTACGTGACAGGAGCAGTCTGCTGTAATCAGGACCAGAGGCCCTACATGACAGGAGCAGTCTACTGTAGTCAGGAACAGAGGCCCTACATGACAGGAGCAGTCTGCTGTAATCAGGACCAGAGGCCCTACATGACAGGAGCAGTCTACTGTAGTCAGGAAGAGAGGCCCTACATGACAGGAGCAGTCTGCTGAAGGAATGTGTGACTGACCTTCTGTTTCATAGTACTTCACTTGAAAGCCCTCGTGAGTGCGGGAACTGTCTGTCTGGAAGCGGATAAAGATGAACATCCCCGAGGACTGGAGGGTGGGGCGATTTCTGGCACAGAACACCCCCATCAACTTGGCCGACATGTCCTGCCCTGAAACACACAACACCCACTCAGACATGCTGACATTTCCTGCCCTGAAACACACAACACCCACTCAGACATGTCCTGCCCTGAAACACACAACACCCACTCAGACATGTCCTGCCCTGAAACACACAACACCCACTCAGACATGTCCTGCCCTGAAACACACAACTCCCACTCAGATATGTCCTGCCCTGAAACACACAACACCCACTCAGACATGTCCTGCCCTGAAACACACAACACCCACTCAGATATGTCCTGCCCTGAAACACACAACTCCCACTCAGACATGTCCTGCCCTGAAACACACAACACCCACTCAGACATGTCCTGCCCTGAAACACACAACACCCACTCAGACATGTCCTGCCCTGAAACACACAACACCCACTCAGACATGTCCTGCCCTGAAACACACAACACCCACTCAGACATGTCCTGCCCTGAAACACACAACTCCCACTCAGACATGTCCTGCCCTGAAACACACTTCACCCACTCAGACATGTCCTGCCCTGAAACACACAACACCCACTCAGAGATGTCCTGCCCTGAAACACACAACACCCACTCAGAGATGTCCTGCCCTGAAACACACAACACCCACACAGACATGTCCTGCCCTGAAACAGACAACTCCCACTCAGACATGTCCTGCCCTGAAACACACAACTCCCACTCAGACATGTCCTGCCCTGAAACACACAACACCCACTCAGAGATGTCCTGCCCTGAAACACACAACACCCACTCAGACATGTCCTGCCCTGAAACACACAACACCCAATCACACATGTCATGCCCTGAAACACAACACCCACTCAGAGATGTCCTGCCCTGAAACACACAACTCCCACTCAGACATGTCCTGCCCTGAAACACACAACTCCCACTCAGACATGTCCTGCCCTGAAACACACAACACCCACTCAGACATGTCCTGCCCTGAAACACACAACACCCACTCAGATATGTCCTGCCCTGAAACACACAACACCCACTCAGATATGTCCTGCCGTGAAACACACAACATCAACTCAGACATGTTTGGAGGGTGTCCCTAACCCACATTTCCCCAACTCCCACTAACCATCTGTCCCTTACCCTCTTTTCTTAGTGTTTCCCTAACCCTTTTTTCTGAGGGTTTCCTTAACTCTCACTTCAGAGGGTTTCCCTACCCCCCACTCACCATCTGTCCCTAACCCTCACTTCAGAGGGTTTCCCTGACTCCCACTCACCATCTGCCTTACCCTTTTTCCCGAGGGTTTCCCGAACCCTCTTTTCTGAAGGTTTCCCTATCCCTCTTTTCTGAGGGTTTCCTTAACCCTCACTTCAGAGGGTTTCCCTACCCCCCCCTAACAATCTGTCCCTAACCCTCACTTCAGAGGGTTTCCCTGACTCCCACTCACCATCATAAATGGAGATATTGTCAAAGGAGCAGTCATACTCCAGATGTGCATCCGTCACTTCAATCTTCACAGTTGTGAAGCCGGACATTGCACGGATCACCCAGCGACAGTCTAAGTGACTGGAAAAAGAAGTGTGTGTATCCATGACAACATCATCATATAAAAATAACAACAGGATGACATATTACTCAAAGTTGATGTAAAAAAAATCATCCAACAAATAAGGATTGAAATATACTGGTACACAGTGATAGGGTACCCTCTATAGGACCTCAGTCTCATGGTGAACGGACAGAGGAATGTAGTCATTGGCACCATGTGCACGAGGTGATTGAAAACATGTGTTTGGATGTATCATGATAGAATCGTTGCACATCATATCTGCTTACTTCTTGTAGTTCTCTGGGTAGCCAGGGCTGGAGAGGTAGGACATGTGGTTGTACGCGGTCAGCGACGTTCCACATGGAGAGATGACAGCTGTAACAAAAGCAAGAACATGTCACAGTGTTGCTAAGTAACAAGTCCTGGAAGTAGGGAGCATGTCAGGAGCCTTGACTACATCTGTGATGGGGAACATGGCCTACCTTGAGTGGAGGTGTATGTCAGGAGCCTTGTCTACATCTGTGATGGGGAACATGGCCTAGCTTGAGTGGAGGTGTATGTCAGGAGCCTTGTCTACATCTGTGATGGGGAACATGACCTACCTTGAGTGGAGGTGTATGTCAGCAGGAAGCCCTTGTCTACATCTGTGATGGGGAACATGGCCTACCTTGAGTGGAGGTGTATGTCAGCAGGAAGCTCTTGTCTACATCTGTGATGGGGAACATGACCTACCTGGAGTGGAGGTGTATGTCAGCAGGAAGCCCTTGTCTACATCTGTGATGGGGAACATGACCTACCTTGAGTGGAGGTGTATGTCAGCAGGAAGCTCTTGTCTACATCTGTGATTGGGAACATGGCCTACCTGGAGTGGAGGTGTATGTCAGGAGCCTTGTCTACATCTGTGATGGGGAACATGACCTACCTTGAGTGGAGGTGTATGTCAGCAGGAAGCCCTTGTCTACATCTGTGATGGGGAGCATGGCCTACCTTGAGTGGAGGTGTATGTCAGCAGGAAGCCCTTGTTTACATCTGTGATGGGGAACATGACCTACCTCGAGTGGAGGTGTATGTCAGCAGGAAGCCCCTGTCTACATCTGTGATGGGGAACATGGCCTACCTTGAGTGGAGGTGTATGTCAGCAGGAAGCCCTTGTCTACATCTGTGATGGGGAACATGACTTACCTTGAGTGGAGGTGTATGTCAGCAGGAAGCTCTTGTCTACATCTGTGATGGGGAACATGGCCCACCTTGAGTGGAGGTGTATGTCAGCAGGAAGCCCTTGTCTACATCTGTGATGGGGAACATGACCTACCTTGAGTGGAGGTGTATGTCAGGAGCCTTTTCTACATCTGTGATGGGGAACATGGCCTACCTTGAGTGGAGGTGTATGTCAGCAGGAAGCCCTTGTCTACATCTGTGATGGAGAACATGACCTACCTTGAGTGGAGGTGTATGTCAGGAGCCTTGTCTACATCTGTGATGGGGAGCATGGCCTACCTTGAGTGGAGGTGTATGTCAGCAGGAAGCCCTTGACTACATCTGTGATGGGGAACATGGCCTACCTTGAGTGGAGATGTATGTCAGCTGGAAGCCCTTGTCTACATCTGTGATGGGGAACATGGCCTACCTTGAGTGGAGGTGTATGTCAGCAGGAAGCCCTTGACTACATCTGTGATGGGGAACATGACCTACCTTGAGTGGAGGTGTATGTCAGCAGGAAGCCCTTGTCTACATCTGTGATGGGGAACATGGCCTACCTTGAGTGGTGGTGTATGTCAGCAGGAAGCCCTTGTCTACATCTGTGATGGGGAACATGACCTACCTTGAGTGGAGGTGTATGTCAGGAGCCTTTTCTACATCTGTGATGGGGAACATGGCCTACCTTGAGTGGAGGTGTATGTCAGCAGGGAGCCCTTGTCTACATCTGTGATGGGGAACATGACCTACCTTGAGTGGAGGTGTATGTCAGCAGGAAGCCCTTGTCTACATCTGTGATGGGGAGCACGGCCTACCTGGAGTGGAGTTGTATGTCAGCAGGAAGCCCTTGTCGACGTCGGAGCCTGAGTGAAGCTGTAGGAACATGTATTTGCCAGTGCTGAGGAACTGTGGAGTTGATTTGCTGCACCACTTGATGATCAAACCCTCCGTGGAATCTTTGCCTAAAACAGTAAAATCCGTAGCCTTCTCCTTTGAAACAACACAAAAATGCAAGAGAAACCACACAAGGCAGAATCGAAATAACAATCACTCATATTGTGGGTCGGACGTTTGTTTGAGACAAGAACAAAACCATTAGTCAGTGCTTCAAGACAATTTAACTTTGTGAGGTGTTTAAAAGGTATTATATTTCCACACCTCCACCATGTCCAGTCAATGATTTATTTTACTGTATGCAACCTGAGGACAAAATTACAGATGATTATATTAAAAACACTTCAAGGCACTAGATTGGTCCAACAATATGTAATGAGCGATCCACTCGAATACTGAGACGTGTGTTAAAGCACTCTAACCATCGTACGCCTCCACGTGGCTCACGGAGCAGTAGTAGTCCTGGAAGAGGTCAGTTTCCAGCACATTCACGCTCACCACCTGGTCGTCGGGCTCCGCCTCGATCCGCCACCAGCACTCGGGGGGCCTGCAAACAACACCGCAGTAACTACATCACCGACCACATCCTAACAATACCTGTCTGAGTGACGTCGCTATATGGCTGAAATAATGCTGAAGCGACGTTAAATTTTAACTCACTCACTGAGTGACAGTGTCGGCCCTGACCTACCCAAGTTCTTTTTTTTGTCATTGGTGTTTAAGCCACACTCGGGCTATATGACTGCAACCTAGATCAGACAATCCAGTGAATAAGCCTCCTGCGACCAGCCTATCCACACTGTGGCCTTGTCACAGGACCAGGTTGTATGGGTGGAGAAGATTGACGAGGACAGGTTAAGGGCAAGTGATGTGGCCTGGAGTTATGCCTCCTTGTTGGACCTACCTGACAGGGCGAGTAGGCACAAGTACAGGTTCTGGGCAAGTGATGTCCCCTGGATATAATCCTCCTTGTTTGACCTACCTGACAGGGCGAGTAGGGACGAGGACAGGTTCTGGGAAAGTGCTGTGCCCTGGAGTTAATCCTCCTTGTTGGACCTACCTGACAGGGTGAGTAGGGACGAGGACAGGTTCTGGTAGTGTGATGTGTCCTGGAGTTATGCCTCCTTGTTGGACCTACCTGACAGGGCCAGTTGGGAAGCCGGACGAGGACAGGTTCTGGTAGTGTGATGTCCCCTGGAGCTCCTTGTTACACGAGGAATCTGGAAGACAACAAACCTGTCAGACAGTGTGATGTTATGATGATTTGTTTGTTTGTTGTTTAAAGCAGCACTTAGCAATATTCCAGTTATATGACAGCGGTCTGTAAATAATTGTGTCTGGAAATCAAGCAAATAATCGAGAAAATCCTGTGATTTGTTTCATGAGCTTCGATCCACACAATCAGGATATGATGATATGCATGAACCAAGTCAGTGAGCCTGTTAGTCACCTCTTACGACAAGTATAGTTGCCTTTTACGGCAAGCATGGGTTGCTGAAGACCTATTCTACCCTGGATCTTCACGGGTTTAGTCAGCTGGTTGGATAAGGGCTTGAATAAGGGCTAACCTCTGCGGACAGCCTTGTACTTGATGTTGAACTTTCCCGTGTTGCCAATGAAGGACTGAAACTGTGCATACACATCACTACCAGAGGAGGGAACCCAGTCTGTGTCCAGGCCTGCACAGCGCAGCATCAGCCGGGAGGAGCTGTTGGATGGACCTGGAAGTACCCGCATGTCTTTCATCAGGGGAGACCACTCACAATCATATAAAGACATTGTAATAAGGGGAGACCACTCACAATCATACAAAGATATTGTAATAAGGGGAGAACACTCACCATCACACATAGACATTGTGATCAGGGGAGACCACTCACAATCATACAAAGACATTGTGATCAGGGGAGACCACTCACAATCATACATAGACATTGTGATCAGGGGAGACCACTCACAATCATACAAAGATATTGTGATCAGGGGAGACCACTCACCATCATACATAGACATTGTGATCAGGGGAGACCACTCACAATCACACAAAGACATTGTGATCAGGGGAGACCACTCACAATCATACAAAGACATTGTGATCAGGGGAGACCACTCACAATCATACAAAGACATTGTGATCAGGGGAGACCACTCACCATCATACAAAGACATTGTGATCAGGGGAGACCACTCACCATCATACAAAGATATTGTGATCAGGGGAGACCACTCACAATCATACATAGACATTGTGATCAGGGGAGACCACTCACAATCATACAAAGACATTGTGATCAGGGGAGACCACTCACAATCACACAAAGACATTGTGATCAGGGGAGACCACTCACAATCATACAAAGACATTGTGATCAGGGGAGACCACTCACAATCATACAAAGACATTGTGATCAGGGGAGACCACTCACCATCATACAAAGACATTGTGATCAGGGGAGACCACTCACAATCATACAAAGACATTGTGAACAGGGGAGACCACTCACAATCATACAAAGATATTGTAATAAGGGGAGACCACTCACAATCATACATAGACATTGTAATCAGGGGAGACAACTCACCATCGTAGAAAGCTATGCAATAAGGGGACAAAACTCACCATCGTAGAAAACTATGTGATGAGGGGAGACAACTCACCATCGTAGAAAGCGATGTGATCAGGGGAGACAACTCACCATCGTAGAAAGCTATGCAATAAGGGGACAAAACTCACCATCGTAGAAAGCTATGTGATGAGGGGAGACAACTCACCATCGTAGAAAGCGATGTGATCAGGGGAGACAACTCACCATCGTAGAAAGCTATGCAATCAGGGGAGACAACTCACCATCGTAGAAAGGTATGCAATCAGGGGAGACAACTCGCCATCGTAGAAAGCTATGTAATCAGGGGAGACAACTCACCATCGTAGAAAGCTATGTAATCAGGGGAGACAACTCACCATCATAGAAAGCTATGTAATCAGGGGAGACAACTCACCATCATAGAAAGCTATGTGATCAGGGGAGACAACTCACCATCGTAGAAAGCGATGTGATCAGGGGAGACAACTCACCATCGTAGAAAGCGATGTGATCAGGGAGACAACTCACCATCGTACAAAGCTATGTAATCAGGGAGAAAACTCACCATCGTAGAAAGCTATGCGATCAGGGAGACAACTCACCATCGTAGAAAGCTATGTGATCAGGGGAGACAACTCACCATCGTAGAAAGCTATGTAATCAGGGAGACAACTCACCATCGTAGAAAGCGATGTGATCAGGGGAGACAACTCACCATCGTAGAAAGCGATGTGATCAGGGGAGACAACTCACCATCGTAGAAAGCTATGTAATCAGGGGGGACAACTCACCATCGTAGAAAGCTATGTAATCAGGGGAGACAACTCACCATCGTAGAAAGCGATGTGATCAGGGGAGACAACTCACCATCGTAGAAGGCTATGTAATCAGGGGAGACAACTCACCATCGTAGAAAGCGATGTGATCAGGGGAGACAACTCACCATCGTAGAAAGCTTTGTAATCAGGGGAGACAACTCACCATCGTAGAAAGCGATGTGATCAGGGGAGACAACTCACCATCGTAGAAGGCTATGTAATCAGGGGAGACAACTCACCATCGTAGAAAGCGATGTGATCCTGGGAGGAGACAACTCACCATCGTAGAAAGCTATGTAATCAGGGGGGACAACTCACCATCGTAGAAAGCTATGTAATCAGGGGAGACAACTCACCATCGTAGAAAGCTTTGTAATCAGGGGAGACAACTCACCATTGTAGAAAGCGATGTGATCAGGGAGACAACTCACCATCGTAGAAGGCTATGTAATCAGGGGAGACAACTCACCATCGTAGAAAGCTATGTAATCAGGGGAGACAACTCACCATCGTAGAAAGCGATGTGATCAGGGGAGACAACTCACCATCGTAGAAAGCTTTGTAATCAGGGGAGACAACTCACCATTGTAGAAAGCGATGTGATCAGGGAGACAACTCACCATCGTAGAAGGCTATGTAATCAGGGGAGACAACTCACCATCGTAGAAAGCTATGTAATCAGGGGAGACAACTCACCATCGTAGAAAGCGATGTGATCAGGGGAGACAACTCACCATCGTAGAAAGCTTTGTAATCAGGGGAGACAACTCACCATTGTAGAAAGCGATGTGATCAGGGAGACAACTCACCATCGTAGAAGGCTATGTAATCAGGGGAGACAACTCACCATCGTAGAAAGCTATGTAATCAGGGGAGACAACTCACCATCGTAGAAAGCGATGTGATCAGGGGAGACAACTCACCATCGTAGAAAGCTTTGTAATCAGGGGAGACAACTCACCATTGTAGAAAGCGATGTGATCAGGGAGACAACTCACCATCGTAGAAGGCTATGTAATCAGGGGAGACAATTCACCATCGTAGAAAGCTATGTGATCCTGGGAGGAGACAACTCACCATCGTAGAAGGCGATGTGATCCTGGGAGGAGGTGCAGGCGCCCACGGGTGACTGGGACATGAACTGGGACACCAGGAAGGCCACGTGGTAGTATGGGCTGAAGGAATGGAGTCGCCACCGGCACACCTCGTGTCTGCAGGAAGAAATCTTATTGGAGTATATGTTATATATATCACAGTGTGTGTCATGTGATGAGCATCCAGGGGTTGTGCATATTCTACCACAGCTGCTGATGTACTTACGGCCAGTAGGTGTTTGGAAAGTTGGGAGAATACAGAGATTGTTCCTCCAAGGTCACCTCAAGGACAACTATCTTGTTCCTGTCACAGATGCCTGCAACACAAGCAATGCAATACATTCATTAAGACAGTCCAGTGATCAGTATTGTGAGCAACGCTCCATGTCGTCAGTGTAAGATGGGGCACAATGCAATACACTCATTAAGACAGTCCAGTGATCAGTATTGTGAGCAACGATCCATGTCGTCAGTGTAAGATGGGGCACAATGCAATACACTGATTAAGACAGTCCAGTGATCAGTATTGTGAGCAACGCTCCATGTCGTCAGTGTAAGATGGGGCACAATGCAATACACTCATTAAGACAGTCCAGTGATCAGTATTGTGAGCAACGATCCATGTCGTCAGTGTAAGATGGGGCACAATGCAATACACTCATTAAGACAGTCCAGTGATCAGTATTGTGAGCAACGATCCATGTCGTCAGTGTAAGATGGGGCACAATGCAATACACTCATTAAGACAGTCCAGTGATCAGTATTGTGAGCAACGCTCCATGTCGTCAGAGAAGATGGGGCACAATGCAATACACTGATTAAGACAGTCCAGTGATCAGTCACTCACATGGAAACACTCTGGGGCTATCATGACCTGGCCTGACAGGGGCGGTCGGGTAGCCTTGTGGTTATAGCGTTCTAACATGGGTACAACGTGTGAAGCCCATTTCTGGTTTCCCCCGTCGTGATATTGCTGGAATATTGCTGAAAGCGGCGTAAAACCATACTCACAGCCTAACTATGATCTGTAAGTGGTAAAGTGTGCCTACAGCTATGTTATTCCTACTTTGTGGCGCAGTACTCAATGTACAGTGACTAATCACACCTTGTACGGTGTTGTATGTCAGTTTGTTTTTTGTTTAACGCAGCACTCATCAATAGTCCAGCTACATGATGGCGTTTTTTAAATAAAGAGCCTGGACCTTGTGTGGCGTAGTAATACATGTACATGAGTAATTGTACCTTGTGTGGCATAGTAATACATGTACATGAGTAATTGTACCTTGTGTGGCGTAGCAATACATCAGTAATTGTACCTTGTGTGGCGTAGTAATACATGTACATGAGTAATTGTACCTTGTGTGGCGTAGTAATACATGTACATGAGTAATTGTACCTTGTGTGGCGTAGTAATACATCAGTAATTGTACCTTGTGTGGCGTAGTAATACATGTACATGAGTAATTGTACCTTGTGTGGCGTAGTAATACATCAGTAATTGTACCCTGTGTGGCGTAGTAATACATGTACATGAGTAATTGTACCTTGTGTGGCGTAGTAATACATGTACATGAGTAATTGTACCTTGTGTGGCGTAGTAATACATGTACATGAGTAATTGTACCTTGTGTGGCGTAGTAATACATGTACATCAGTAATTGTACCTTGTGTGGCGTAGTAATACATGTACATGAGTAATTGTACCTTGTGTGGCGTAGCAATACATCAGTAATTGTACCTTGTGTGGCGTAGTAATACATGTACATCAGTAATTGTACCTTGTGTGGCGTAGTAATACATGTACATGAGTAATTGTACCTTGTGTGGCGTAGTAATGCATCAGTAATTGTACCTTGTGTGGCATAGTAATACATGTACATCAGTAATTGTACCTTGTGTGGCGTAGTAATGCATCAGTAATTGTACCTTGTGTGGCGTAGTAATACATGTACATCAGTAATTGTACCTTGTGTGGCGTAGTAATACATGTACATGAGTAATTGTACCTTGTGTGGCGTAGTAATGCATCAGTAATTGTACCTTGTGTGGCATAGTAATACATGTACATGAGTAATTGTACCTTGTGTGGCGTAGTAATACATGTACATCAGTAATTGTACCTTGTGTGGCGTAGTAATACATGTACATGAGTAATTGTACCTTGTGTGGCGTAGCAATACATCAGTAATTGTACCTTGTGTGGCGTAGTAATACATCAGTAATTGTACCTTGTGTGGCGTAGTAATACATGTACATGAGTAATTGTACCTTGTGTGGCGTAGTAATGCATCAGTAATTGTACCTTGTGTGGCATAGTAATACATGTACATGAGTAATTGTACCTTGTGTGGCGTAGTAATACATGTACATGAGTAATTGTACCTTGTGTGGCGTAGCAATACATCAGTAATTGTACCTTGTGTGGCGTAGTAATACATGTACATGAGTAATTGTACCTTGTGTGGCGTAGTAATACATGTACATGAGTAATTGTACCTTGTGTGGCGTAGTAATACATCAGTAATTGTACGTTGTGTGGCGTAGTAATACATGTACATGAGTAATTGTACCTTGTGTGGCATAGTAATACATGTACATGAGTAATTGTACCTTGTGTGGCGTAGTAATACATGTACATGAGTAATTGTACCTTGTGTGGCGTAGTAATACATCAGTAATTGTACCTTGTGTGGCGTAGTAATACATGTACATGAGTAATTGTACCTTGTGTGGCGTAGTAATACATGTACATGAGTAATTGTACCTTGTGTGGCGTAGTAATACATGTACATGAGTAATTGTACCTTGTGTGGCGTAGTAATACATCAGTAATTGTACCTTGTGTGGCGTAGTAATACATGTACATGAGTAATTGTACCTTGTGTGGCGTAGTAATACATGTACATGAGTAATTGTACCTTGTGTGGCGTAGTAATACATGTACATCAGTAATTGTACCTTGTGTGGCGTAGTAATACATGTACATGAGTAATTGTACCTTGTGTGGCGTAGCAATACATCAGTAATTGTACCTTGTGTGGCGTAGTAATACATGTACATGAGTAATTGTACCTTGTGTGGCGTAGTAATGCATCAGTAATTGTACCTTGTGTGGCATAGTAATACATGTACATGAGTAATTGTACCTTGTGTGGCGTAGTAATGCATCAGTAATTGTACCCTGTGTGGCGTAGTAATACATGTACATGAGTAATTGTACCTTGTGTGGCGTAGTAATGCATCAGTAATTGTACCTTGTGTGGCGTAGTAATACATGTACATGAGTAATTGTACCTTGTGTGGCGTAGTAATGCATCAGTAATATTACCCTGTGTGGCGTAGTAATACATGTACATGAGTAATTGTACCTTGTGTGGCGTAGCAATACATCAGTAATTGTACCTTGTGTGGCGTAGTAATACATGTACATGAGTAATTGTACCTTGTGTGGCGTAGTAATACATCAGTAATTGTACCTTGTGTGGCGTAGTAATGCATCAGTAATATTACCCTGTGTGGCGTAGTAATACATGTACATGAGTAATTGTACCTTGTGTGGCGTAGTAATACATGTACATGAGTAATTGTACCTTGTGTGGCGTAGTAATGCATCAGTAATTGTACCTTGTGTGGCATAGTAATACATGTACATCAGTAATTGTACCTTGTGTGGCGTAGTAATACATCAGTAATTGTACCTTGTGTGGCGTAGTAATACATCAGTAATTGTACCCTGTGTGGCGTAGTAATACATCAGTAATTGTACCTTGTGTGGCGTAGTAATACATCAGTAATTGTACCTTGTGTGGCGTAGTAATGCATCAGTAATATTACCCTGTGTGGCGTAGTAATACATGTACATGAGTAATTGTACCTTGTGTGGCGTAGTAATGCATCAGTAATTGTACCTTGTGTGGCATAGTAATACATGTACATCAGTAATTGTACCTTGTGTGGCGTAGTAATACATGTACATCAGTAATTGTACCTTGTGTGGCGTAGTAATACATCAGTAATTGTACCTTGTGTGGCGTAGTAATGCATCAGTAATTGTACCTTGTGTGGCATAGTAATACATGTACATCAGTAATTGTACCTTGTGTGGCGTAGTAATACATGTACATCAGTAATTGTACCTTGTGTGGCGTAGTAATACATCAGTAATTGTACCTTGTGTGGCGTAGCAATACATCAGTAATTGTACCTTGTGTGGCATAGTAATGCATCAGTAATTGTACCTTGTGTGGCGTAGTAATACATGTACATGAGTAATTGTACCTTGTGTGGCGTAGTAATACATCAGTAATTGTACCTTGTGTGGCGTAGTAATACATGTACATGAGTAATTGTACCTTGTGTGGCGTAGTAATACATGTACATCAGTAATTGTACCTTGTGTGGCGTAGTAATGCATCAGTAATTGTACCTTGTGTGGCGTAGTAATACATGTACATCAGTAATTGTACCTTGTGTGGCGTAGTAATACATCAGTAATTGTACCTTGTGTGGCGTAGTAATACATCAGTAATTGTACCTTGTGTGGCGTAGTAATACATGTACATGAGTAATTGTACCTTGTGTGGCGTAGTAATACATGTACATGAGTAATTGTACCTTGTGTGGCGTAGTAATACATGTACATCAGTAATTGTACCTTGTGTGGCGTAGTAATACATCAGTAATTGTACCTTGTGTGGCGTAGTAATACATGAGTAATTGTACCTTGTGTGGCGTAGTAATACATGTACATGAGTAATTGTACCTTGTGTGGCGTACCAATACATCAGTAATTGTACCTTGTGTGGCGTAGTAATACATGAGTAATTGTACCTTGTGTGGCGTAGTAATACATGAGTAATTGTACCTTGTGTGGCGTAGTAATGCAGGGCCACTACACTGAGTGGCACGTTGACTTCTGGGTGCGTCGGCAGATACAGGGATGTTCCATACACACGGTACTCGTGGCTGTTCAGGAAGGGACACAACTTTGGAATCTGGTACTGTGGCAGCACAGCCGATACTGCAAGAATAACACACATGGTGGAGACACATGGTGCAAAGACACATGAGAGACACATGGTAAGGACACATGGTAGAGACACATGGTGGAGACACATGGTGGAGACACATGGTGCAAAGACACATGAGAGACACATGGTAAGGACAAATGGTAGAGACACATGGTGGAGACACATGGTGCAAAGACACATGAGAGACACATGGTAAGGACACATGGTAGAGACACATGGTGGAGACACATGGTGGAGAGACACATGGTAGAGAGACACATGGTGGAGAGACACATGGTGGAGACACATGGTGGAGAGACACATGAGAGACACATGGTAAGGACACACGGTAGAGACACACGGTGGAGAGACACATGGTAGAGAGACACATGGTAGAGAGACACATGGTAGAGAGACACATGGTGGAGAGACACTTGGTGGAGAGACACATGGTAGAGACACATGGTGGAGACACATGGTGGAGAGACACATGGTAGAGAGACACATGGTGGAGAGACACATGGTGGAGACACATGGTGGAGAGACACATGAGAGACACATGGTAAGGACACACGGTAGAGACACATGGTGGAGAGACACATGGTAGAGAGACACATGGTAGAGAGACACATGGTAGAGAGACACATGGTAGAGAGACACATGGTGGAGAGACACTTGGTGGAGAGACACATGGTGGAGAGACACATGGTGGAGAGACACGTGGTTGAGACACACATGGTGGAGAGACACATGGTGGAGAGACACATGGTGGAGAGACACGTGGTGGAGACACACATGGTGTAGAGATACATGGTGGAGAGACACAGGGTGGAGAGACACATGGTGGAGAGACACAGGGTGGAGAGATACATGGTGGAGAGACACATGGTAAAGAGACACATGGTTGAGAGACACATGGTAGAGAGACACGTGGTAGAGAGACACAGTGGAGAGACACATGGTGGAGAGACCCGTGGTGGAGAGACACATGGTAGAGAGACACAGTGAAGAGACACAGGGTGGAGAGACACATGGTAGAGAGACATGTGGTGGAGAGACAGGGTGGAGAGACACATGGTGGAGAGACACATGGTAAAGAGACACATGGTTGAGAGACACATGGTAGAGAGACACGTGGTAGAGAGACACAGTGGAGACACGTAGGGTGGAGAGACACATGGTGGAGAGACACATGGTAGAGATACACATGGTAGAGAGACACAGTGGAGAGACACATGGTGGAGAGACCCGTGGTGGAGAGACACATGGTAGAGAGACACAGTGAAGAGACACAGGGTGGAGAGACACATGGTAGAGAGACATGTGGTGGAGAGACACAGGGTGGAGAGACACATGGTAGAGAGACAAAGGGTAGAGAGACACATGGTAGAGAGAAACATGGTGGAGAGACACGTGGTGGAGACACACAGGATGGAGAGACACATGGTGGAGAGACACATGGTAGAGATACACGTGGTGGAGAGACACGTGGTGGAGAGACACATGGTGGAGAGACATATGGTGGAGAGACACATGGTGGAGAGACACATGGTGGAGAGACAGGGTGGAGACACACAGGGTGGAGAGACACATGGTGGAGAGACACATGGTATAGAGACACGTGGTGGAGAGACACGTGGTGAGAGACACATGGTAGAGAGACACACAGTGGAGAGACACATGGTGGAGAGACACATGGTACAGAGACATGCGGTGGAGAGACACAGGGTGGAGAGACACATGGTAGAGAGACACATGGTAGAGAGACACATGATGGAGAGACAAAGGGTAGAGAGACAAAGGGTAGAGAGACACATGGTAGAGAGAAACGTGGTGGAGAGACACGTGGTGGAGACACACAGGGTGGAGAGACACATAGTAGAGAGACACATGGTAGAGACACATGGTGGAGAGACACATGGTAGAGACACATGGTGGAGAGACACATGGTGGAGAGAGACATGGTGGAGAGACACATTGTAGAGAGAGATTCTGGAGAGACACATGGTAGAGAGACACGTGGTGGAGAGACACGTGGTGAGAGACACATGGTAGAGAGACACACAGTGGAGAGACACATGGTGGAGAGACACATGGTACAGAGACTAACGGTGGAGAGACACAGGGTGGAGAGACACATGGTAGAGAGACACATGGTAGAGAGACACATGATGGAGAGACAAAGGGTAGAGAGACAAAGGGTAGAGAGACACATGGTAGAGAGAAACGTGGTGGAGAGACACGTGGTGGAGACACACAGGGTGGAGAGACACATAGTAGAGAGACACATGGTAGAGACACATGGTGGAGAGACACATGGTAGAGACACATGGTGGAGAGACACATGGTGGAGAGAGACATGGTGGAGAGACACATGGTAGAGAGACATGTGGTGTAGAGACACAGGATGGAGAGACACATGGTAGAGAGACACATGGTAGAGAGACACATGATGGAGAGACAAAGGGTAGAGAGACAAAGGGTAGAGAGACACATATTAGAGAGAAACGTTTGTGGAGAGACACATGTGGAGATACAAATGGTAGAGAGACACATGGTGGAGAGACACATGGTTGAGAGACACATGGTGGAGAGACACATGGTAGAGACACATGGTGGAGAGACACATGGTAGAGACACATGCTGGAGAGACACATGGTAGAGAGAGACATGGTAGAGAGACACATGGTGGAGAGACACATGGTGGAGACACATGGTGGAGAGACACATGGTGGAGAGAGACATGGTGCAGAGAAACATGGTAGAGAGACATTGTGGAGAGACACATGGTAGAGAGACACATGGTGGAGAGACACGTGGTAGAGAGACATGTGGAGATACAAATGGTAGAGAGACACATGGTGGAGAGAGACATGTGGAGATACAAATGGTAGAGAGACACATGGTGGAGAGACACATGGTTGAGAGACACATGGTGGAGAGACACATGGGAGAGACACATGGTGGAGAGTCACATGGTAGAGACACATGGTGGAGAGACACATGGTAGAGAGACACATGGTAGAGAGACACATGGTGGAGAGACACATGGTAGAGAGACACATGGTGGAGAGACACATGGTGGAGAGACAGGGTGGAGACACACAGGGTGGAGAGACACATGGTGGAGAGACACATGGTAGAGAGACACGTGGTGGAGAGACACATGGTAGAGAGACACACAGTGGAGAGACACATGGTGGAGAGACACATGGTAGAGAGACATGTGGTGGAGAGACCCAGGGTGGAGAGACACATGGTGGAGAGACACATGGTGGAGAGAGACATGGTGGAGAGACACAAGGTAGAGAGAGATTCTGGAGAGACACATGGTAGAGAGACACATGGTGGAGAGAGACATGGTGGAGAGACACATGGTAGAGAGACATGGTGGAGAGAAACATGGTAGAGAGACACATGGTGGAGAGAGACATGGTGGAGAGACACATGGTAGAGACACATGGTACAGAGACAAATGGTAGAGAGACACATGGTGGAGACACATGTGGAGAGACACATGGTGGAGAGACACATGGTAAAGAGACACATGGTAGAGACACATAGTAGAGAGATACATGGTGGAGAGACACATGGTTGAGACACATGGTAGAGAGACACATGGTGGAGAGACTAATGGTGGAGACACATGGTGGAGAGACACATGGTAAAGAGACACATGGTGAAGAGACACATGGTGTAGAGACACATGGTAGAGAGACACATGGTAGAGAGACATGTTGAGAGACACATGGTGAGAGACACATGGTGGAGAGACACATGGTGACAGACACGTGGTGGAGAGACACATGGTGGAGACACATGGTGGAGAGACACATGGTGGAGAGACACATGGTAGAGAGACATTATGGAGAGACACATGGTAGAGAGACACATTGTAGAGAGACACATGGTGGAGAGACACATGGTAGAGAGACACATGGTAGAGAGACACATGGTGGAGACACACGTGGAGAGACACATGGTAGAGAGACATGGTAGAGAGACACATGATAGAGAGACACATGGTGAGAGACACATGGTAGAGAGACACATGGTGAGGGACACATGGTAGAGAGACACATGGTGAGAGACACATGATGGAGAGACACATGGTGGAGAGAGACATGGTGGAGAGACACATGGTAGAGACACATGGTGGAGAGACACGTGGTGGAGAGACACATGGTAGAGAGACACATGGTGGAGAGAGACATGGTGGAGAGACACAGGGTGGAGAGAGACATGGTAGAGAGACACATGGTGGAGACACATGGTAGAGAGACACATGGTGGAGAGACCAATGGTAGTGAGACACATGGTGGAGAGACACATGGTAGAGACACATGGTGGAGAGACACGTGGTAGAGAGACACGTGGTGGAGAGACACATGGTAGAGAGACACATGGTGGAGAGATACATGATAGAGAGACATTGTGGAGAGAAACATGGTAGAGAGACACATGGTGGAGAGACACATGGTAGAGAGACACATGGTGAGAGACACATGGTGGAGAGACACATGGTGGAGAGACACATGGTGGAGAGACACATGGTAGAGAGACATTGTGGAGAGACACATGGTAGAGAGACACATGGTGGAGAGACACATGGTAGAGAGACACATGGTGGAGATACATGTTGGAGAGACACATGTTGGAGAGACACATGGTGAGAGACATGGTGGAGAGACACGTGGTAGAGAGACACATGGTGGAGAGACATTGTGGAGACTCACATGGTAGAGAGACACATGGTAGAGAGACACATGGTGGAGAGACACAGGGTGGAGAGACATGTTGGAGAGACACATGGTGGCGAGACATGTTGGAGAGACACATGGTAGAGAGACACATGGTGTAGAGACACATGGTGGAGAGACACAGGGTGGAGAGACACATGGTGGAGAGACACATGGTAGAGACACACGTGGTGGAGAGACACATGGTGGAGAGACATGTTGGAGAGATACATGGTGGAGATACATGGTGGAGAGACACATGGTAGAGAGACACATGGTAGAGAGACACACAGTGGAGACACATGGTGGAGAGACAAAGGGGGGAGAGACACATGGTAGAGAGATACATGGTAGAGAGACACATGGTGGAGAGACACATGGTGGAGAGACATGGTGGAGAGACACATGGTGGAGAGACATGGTAGAGACACATGGTGGAGAGACACATGGTAGAGAGACACATGGTGGAGAGACACATGGTAGAGAGACACATGGTGGAGAAACACATGGTGGAGAGACACATGGTGGAGAGACACATGGTAGAGAGACACGTGGTAGAGAGATACGTGGTAGAGAGATACATTTTGGAGAGACACATGGTAGAGAGACACCTGGTGGAAAGACACATGGTGGAGAGACACATGGTGGAGATACACACGGTAGAGACACATTGTGGAGAGACACATGTTGGAGAGACACATGGTGGAGAGATACATGATAGAGAGGAGTGGAGTGACAGAGGTGTTGTCATAGTCAGGAGAAGGGAGATAACTGTTACCATTGTACACTTGTATGTAGGTGGCGTTGTCAGGGCAGGAGGAAGAGGGATTGAAAGACGGGGATATTCCAGGTGAAACAATTCCCACGTCTAGCATCTTCATACTGTTGTTTCTCATCTTCACATGCAACATACAGTCCGGGAGCCTGAAACAACATGCAGCATCGCTTAGCAGTGACATAACATGTCAGGGTGAATACCTGGCTACCTGTGTCTACCTGGCTACCTGTCTACCTGGCTACCTGTGTCTACCAGGCTACCTGTGTCTACCTGGCTACTTGTGTCTACCTGGCTACCTGTGTCTACCTGGCTACCTGTGTCTACCTGGCTACCTGTGTCTACCTGGCTACCTGTGTCTACCTGACTACCTGTGTCTACCTGGCTACCTGTGTCTACCTGGCTACCTGTGTCTACTGGCTACCTGTGTCTACCTGGCTACCTGTGTCTACCTGTCTACTTGTGTCTACCTGGCTACCTGTGTCTACCTGTCTACCTGTGTCTACCTGGCTACCTGTGTCTACCTGGCTACCTGTCTACTTGTGTCTACCTGGCTACCTGTGTCTACCTGGCTACCTGTGTCTACCTGGCTACCTGGCTACCTGTGTCTACCTGGCTACCTGTGTCTACCTGGCTACCTGTGTCTACCTGGCTACCTGTGTCTACCTGTCTACTTGTGTCTACCTGGCTACCTGTGTCTACCTGGCTACCTGTGTCTACCTGGCTACCTGTGTCTACCTGGCTACCTGTGTCTACCTGGCTACCTGTGTCTACCTGGATACCTGGCTACCTGTGTCTACCTGGATACCTGTGTCTACCTGGCTACCTGTGTCTACCTGGCTACCTGTGTCTACCTGGCTACTTGTGTCTACCTGGCTACCTGTGTCTACCTGTCTACTTGTGTCTACCTGTCTACTTGTGTCTACCTGGCTACCTGTGTCTAACTGTCTACTTGTGTCTAACTGTCTAATTGTGTATACCTGTCTACCTGTGTCTACCTGGCTACCTGTGTCTACCTGTGTCTACCTGTGTCTACCTGGCTACCTGTGTCTACCTGGCTACCTGTGTCTACCTGGCTACCTATGTCTACTGGCTACCTGTGTCTACCTGTCTACATGTGTCTACCTGGCTACTTGTGTCTACCTGGCTACCTGTGTCTACCTGGCTACCTGTGTCTACCTGGCTACTTGTGTCTACCTGGCTACCTGTGTCTACCTGGCTACCTGTGTCTACCTGGCTACCTGTGTCTACCTGGCTACCTGTGTCTACTTGGATACCTGTGTCTACCTGGCTACCTGTGTCTACCCGGCTACCTGTGTCTACCTGGCTACTTGTGTCTACTTGGCTACCTGTGTCTACCTGGCTACTTGTGTCTACCTGGCTACCTGTGTCTACCTAGCTACCTGTGTCTACCTGGCTACCTGTGTCTACCTGTCTACTTGTGTCTACCTGGATACCTGTGTCTAACTGTCTACTTGTGTCTAACTGTCTAATTGTGTATACCTGTCTACCTGTGTCTACCTGTCTACCTGTGTCTACCTGTGTCTACCTGTGTCTACCTGGCTACCTGTGTCTACCTGGCTACCTGTGTCTACCTGGCTACCTGTGTCTAACTGTCTACCTGGCTACCTGTGTCTAACTGTCTACTTGTGTCTAACTGTCTAATTGTGTATACCTGTCTACCTGTGTCTACCTGTGTCTACCTGGCTACCTGTGTCTACCTGGCTACCTGCGTCTACCTGGCTACCTGTGTCTACCTGTGTCTACCTGTGTCTACCTGGCTACTTGTGTCTACCTGGCTACTAGTGTCTACCTGGCTACTTGTGTCTACCTGGCTACTTGTGTCTACCTGGATACCTGTGTCTACCTGTCTACTTGTGTCTACCTGTCTACTTGTGTCTACCTGTCTACTTGTGTCTACCTAGCTACTTGTGTCTACCTGTCTACTTGTGTCAATCTGTCTACTTGTGTCTACCTGTCTACTTGTGTCTACCTGTCTACTTGTGTCTACCAGGCTACTTGTGTCTACCTGTCTACTTGTGTCTACCTTTCTACTTGTGTCTACCTGTCTACTTCAGTCCACCTGTCTACTTGTGTCTACCTGTCTACTTGTGTCTACCTGTCTACTTGTGTCTACCTGTCTACTTGTGTCTACCTGTCTACTTGTGTCTACCTGTCTACTTCAGTCCACCTGTCTACTTGTGTCTACCTGTCTACTTGTGTCTACCTGTCTACTTGTGTCTACCTGTCTACTTGTGTCTACCTGTCTACTTGTGTCTACCTGTCTACTTCAGTCCACCTGTCTACTTGTGTCTACCTGTCTACCTGGCTACCTGTGTCTACCTGTCTACTTGTGTCTACCTGTCTACTTGTGTCTACCTGTCTACTTGTGTCTACCTGTCTACTTGTGTCTACCTGTCTACTTCAGTCCACCTGTCTACTTGTGTCTACCTGTCTACCTGGCTACCTGTGTCTACCTGTCTAGTTGTGTCTACCTGGCTACTTGTGTCTACCTGTCTAGTTGTGTCTACCTGGCTACTTGTGTCTACCTGTCTAGTTGTGTCTACCTGGCTACTTGTGTCTACCTGTCTAGTTGTGTCTACCTGTCTACTTGTGTCTACCTGTCTAGTTGTGTCTACCTGTCTACTTGTGTCTACCTGTCTAGTTGTGTCTACCTGGCTACTTGTGTCTACCTGTCTAGTTGTGTCTACCTGGCTACCTGTGTCTACCTGTCTAGTTGTGTCTACCTGGCTACTTGTGTCTACCTGTCTAGTTGTGTCTACCTGGCTACTTGTGTCTACCTGTCTACTTGTGTCTACCTGTCTACTTCAGTCCACCTGTCTACTTGTGTCTACCTGTCTACCTGGCTACCTGTGTCTACCTGTCTAGTTGTGTCTACCTGGCTACTTGTGTCTACCTGTCTAGTTGTGTCTACCTGTCTACTTGTGTCTACCTGTCTAGTTGTGTCTACCTGCCTACTTGTGTCTACCTGTCTAGTTGTGTCTACCTGGCTACTTGTGTCTACCTGGCTACTTGTGTCTACCTGTCTAGTTGTGTCTACCTGTCTAGTTGTGTCTACCTGGCTACTTGTGTCTACCTGGCTACTTGTGTCTACCTGTCTAATTGTGTCTACCTGTCTACATGTCTCCACCCACCTGTTATAATACTCCATCACTGTGTAGGACGGGAGAGTTGTTGCCACCAGCGGCCGCACGCCATCCTCACCTGAACACGTGGTAGAATCTACATGTTAAACACTGCATGCATGTATCATACACACTGCATGCATGCACCATCAACAGTGCATGCATGTATCATCAACAGTGCATGCATGTATCATCAACACTGCATGCATGCACCATCAACACTGCATGCATGTATCACAAACACTGCATGCATGTATCATCAACACTGCATGCATGCACCATCAACAGTGCATGCATGTATCATCAACAGTGCATGCATGTATCATCAACACTGCATGCATGCACCATCAACACTGCATGCATGTATCACAAACACTGCATGCATGTATCATCAACACTGCATGCATGCACCATCAACAGTGCATGCATGTATCATCAACAGTGCATGCATGTATCATCAACACTGCATGCATGTATCATAAACACTGCATGCATGCACCATCAACACTGCATGCATGTATCACAAACACTGCATGCATGTATCATCAACACTGCATGCATGTATCACAAACACTGCATGCATGTATCATAAACACTGCATGCATGCACCATCAACACTGCATGCATGTATCATCAACACTGCATGCATGCACCATCAACAGTGCATGCATGTATCATCAACAGTGCATGCATGTATCATAAACACTGCATGCATGTATCATAAACAGTGCATGCATGTATCATAAACACTGCATGCATGTATTATAAACACTGCATGCATGTATCATAAACACTGCATGCATGTATTATAAACACTGCATGCATGTATCATAAACACTGCATGCATGTATTATAAACACTGCATGCATGTATCATAAACACTGCATGCATGTATTATAAACACTGCATGCATGTATCATACACACTGCATGCATGTATTATAAACACTGCATGCATGTATCATAAACACTGCATGCATGTATTATGAACACTGCATGCATGTATCATACACAGTGCATGCATGTATTATAAACACTGCATGCATGTATCATAAACACTGCATGCATGTATCATCAACACTGCATGCATGTATCATAAACACTGCATGCATGTATCACAAACACTGCATGCATGTATCATCAACACTGCATGCATGTATCATAAACACTGCATGCATGTGTCACAAACACTGCATGCATGCACAATCAACAGTGCATGCATGTATCACAAACACTGCATGCATGTATCATAAACACTGCATGCATGTATCATAAACACTGCATGCATGCACCATCAACACTGCATGCATGTATCACAAACACTGCATGCATGTATCATAAACACTGCATGCATGTATCATCAACACTGCATGCATGTATCATCAACAGTGCATGCATGTATCATAAACACTGCATGCATGTATCACAAACACCGCATGCATGTATCACAAACTCCGCATGCATGTATCATAAACACTGCATGCATGTATCATAAACACTGCATGCATGTATCATAAACACTGCATGCATGCACTATAAACACTGTCCAAAAAACACTTTTTATGCCATAAACACTATGTTCATAATAACACTACATGCACTATAAACACAATATTTGCAATAAACACTCATTGACCATATATCCTGTCACACTCCATGTGCTACAAACACTATATACCCTGGAACATAATACATATTATAAACTCTATATGTCCTAGAACACTCAATGTGCTATAAACATTATATGTCCTAGAACACTCCATGTGCTATAAACGCTATATGTCCTAGAACACTCCATGTGCTATAAACGTTATATGTCCTAGAACACTCTATGTGCTATAAATGCTGTACGTCCTTGAACACTACATATGCTATAAACATTATATGTCCTAGAACACTCTGTGTCCTCTAAATGCTATATGTCCTAGAAAACTATATGTGCTATAAACGCTGTATGTCCTTGAACACTACATGTGCTATAAACACTATATGTCATTAAACACTACATGTGCTATAAACACTACATGTGCTATAAACGTGTTATGTCCTTGAACACTACATGTGTATCAATGCTATATATCCTAGATCACTACACTGCTATAAACGCTATGGATCCTATAACACTACCCATGCTATAAACAGTATGTGTCCTAGGACACTACACGTGCTACAAATGTTTAAGATCCTAGAACACGACATGTGAAATAAGCACTCTATGTCGTACACTGTGGTGTGGAATGTATCTTCATGACGAAGGCTGACTTGACGGAGGAGGGTGTGGTGAGTATTGTTGACTCCACGAACATCTGTGGGCTGATAACTCGGGAAAACACGTCCGACATTGCACAGGCTGACACCAGCTGCATGGAGGAGTTGTCTGCCCCTGGAACACAGATCGGCATGAATCATCACTTGCATCATCACCCACACTGTCTCCATCAACATCATCACCCACACCATCACCCACACTGTCTCCATCAACACCATCACCCACACCATCACCCACACTGTCTCCATCAACATCATCACCCACACCATCACCCACACTGTCTCCATCAACACCATCACCCACACCATCACCCACACTGTCTCCATCAACATCATCACCCACACCATCACCCACACTGTCTCCATCAACACCATCACCCACACCATCACCCACACTGTCTCCATCAACATCATCACCCACACCATCACCCACACTGTCTCCATGAACACCATCACCCACACCATCAACCGCACTGTCTCCATGAACACCATCACCCACACCATCAACCACACTGTCTCCATCAACACCATCACCCACACCATCAACCACACTGTCTCCATCAACACCATCACCCACACCATCAACCACAGTGTCTCCATGAACACCATCAACCACACTGTCTCCATCAACACCATCACCCACACCATCAACCACACTGTCTCCATGAACACCATCAACCACACTGTCTCCATCAACACCATCACCCACACCATCAACCACACTGTCTCCATGAACACCATCAACCACACTGTCTCCATGAACACCATCACCCACACCATCAACCGCACTGTCTCCATCAACATCATCACCCACACTGTCTCCATCAACATCATCAGCCACACTGTCTCCATCAACACCATCAACCACACTGTCTCCATCAACACCATCACCCACACCATCAACCACACTGTCTCCATGAACACCATCAACCACACTGTCTCCATGAACACCATCACCCACACCATCAACCGCACTGTCTCCATCAACATCATCACCCACACTGTCTCCATCAACATCATCAGCCACACTGTCTCCATCAACACCATCAACCACACTGTCTCCATCAACACCCTCACCCACACTGTCTCCATCAACACCATCAACCACACTGTCTCCATCAACACCATCAACCACACCATCACCCAAACTGTCTCCATCAACACCATCAACCACACTGTCTCCATCAACACCATCACCCACACCATCACCCACACTGTCTCCATCAACACCATCAACCACACTGTCTCCATCAACACCATCAACCACACTGTCTCCATCAACACCATCAACCACACTGTCTCCATCAACCACACTGTCTCCATCAACACCATCAACCACACTGTCTCCATCAACACCATCACCCACACTGTCTCCATCAACACCATCACCCACACCATCAACCACACTGTCACCCACACTGTCTCCATCAACATCATCACCCACACCATCACCCACACTGTCTCCATGAACACCATCACCCACACCATCAACCGCACTGTCTCCATGAACACCATCACCCACACCATCAACCACACTGTCTCCATCAACACCATCACCCACACCATCAACCACACTGTCTCCATCAACACCATCACCCACACCATCAACCACAGTGTCTCCATGAACACCATCAACCACACTGTCTCCATCAACAATATCACCCACACCATCAACCACACTGTCTCCATGAACACCATCAACCACACTGTCTCCATCAACACCATCACCCACACCATCAACCACACTGTCTCCATGAACACCATCAACCACACTGTCTCCATGAACACCATCACCCACACCATCAACCGCACTGTCTCCATCAACATCATCACCCACACTGTCTCCATCAACATCATCAGCCACACTGTCTCCATCAACACCATCAACCACACTGTCTCCATCAACACCATCACCCACACCATCAACCACACTGTCTCCATGAACACCATCAACCACACTGTCTCCATGAACACCATCACCCACACCATCAACCGCACTGTCTCCATCAACATCATCACCCACACCATCACCCACACTGTCTCCATGAACACCATCACCCACACCATCAACCGCACTGTCTCCATGAACACCATCACCCACACCATCAACCACACTGTCTCCATCAACACCATCACCCACACCATCAACCACACTGTCTCCATCAACACCATCACCCACACCATCAACCACAGTGTCTCCATGAACACCATCAACCACACTGTCTCCATCAACACCATCACCCACACCATCAACCACACTGTCTCCATGAACACCATCAACCACACTGTTTCCATCAACACCATCACCCACACCATCAACCACACTGTCTCCATGAACACCATCAACCACACTGTCTCCATGAACACCATCACCCACACCATCAACCGCACTGTCTCCATCAACATCATCACCCACACTGTCTCCATCAACATCATCAGCCACACTGTCTCCATCAACACCATCAACCACACTGTCTCCATCAACACCATCACCCACACCATCAACCACACTGTCTCCATGAACACCATCAACCACACTGTCTCCATGAACACCATCACCCACACCATCAACCGCACTGTCTCCATCAACATCATCACCCACACTGTCTCCATCAACATCATCAGCCACACTGTCTCCATCAACACCATCAACCACACTGTCTCCATCAACACCCTCACCCACACTGTCTCCATCAACACCATCAATCACACTGTCTCCATCAACACCATCAACCACACCATCACCCACACTGTCTCCATCAACACCATCAACCACACTGTCTCCATCAACACCATCACCCACACCATCACCCACACTGTCTCCATCAACACCATCAACCACACTGTCTCCATCAACACCATCAACCACACTGTCTCCATCAACACCATCAACCACACTGTCTCCATCAACACCATCAACCACACTGTCTCCATCAACACCATCAACCACACTGTCTCCATCAACACCATCACCCACACTGTCTCCATCAACACCATCACCCACACCATCAACCACACTGTCACCCACACCATCACCCACACTGTCTCCATCAACACCATCAGCCACACTGTCTCCATCAACACCATCAACCACACTGTCTCCATCAACCACACTGTCTCAATCAACACCATCAGCCACACTGTCTCATAAACACTATCACCCACACTGTCTCCATCAACACCATCACCCACACTGTCTCCATCAACACCATCACCCACACTGTCTCCATCAACACCATCAACCACACTGTCTCCATCAACACCATCAGCCACACTGTCTCCATCAACACCCTCACCCACACTGTCTCCATCAACACCATCAACCACACTGTCTCAATAAACACCATCACCCACACTGTCTCAATAAACACTATCACCCACACTGTCTCAATAAACACCATCACCCACACCATCAACCACACTGTCTCCATCAACACCATCAGCCACACTGTCTCCATCAACACCCTCACCCACACTGTCTCCATCAACACCCTCACCCACACTGTCTCAATAAACACTATCACCCACACTGTCTCCATCAACACCATCAACCACACTGTCTCCATCAACACCATCAGCCACACTGTCTCCATCAACACCATCAACCACACTGTCTCCATCAACACCATCAACCACACTGTCTCCATCAACACCATCACCCACACTGTCTCCATCAACACCATCACCCACACCATCAACCACACTGTCACCCACACCATCACCCACACTGTCTCCATCAACACCATCACCCACACTGTCTCCATCAACACCATCAACCACACTGTCTCCATCAACCACACTGTCTCAATCAACACCATCAGCCACACTGTCTCAATAAACACTATCACCCACACTGTCTCCATCAACACCATCACCCACACTGTCTCCATCAACACCATCACCCACACTGTCTCCATCAACACCATCAACCACACTGTCTCCATCAACACCATCAGCCACACTGTCTCCATCAACACCCTCACCCACACTGTCTCCATCAACACCATCAACCACACTGTCTCAATAAACACCATCACCCACACTGTCTCAATAAACACTATCACCCACACTGTCTCAATAAACACCATCACCCACACCATCAACCACACTGTCTCCATCAACACCATCAACCACACTGTCTCCATCAACACCATCAACCACACTGTCTCCATCAACACCCTCACCCACACTGTCTCCATCAACACCATCAACCACACTGTCTCCATCAACACCATCAACCACACTGTCTCAATAAACACCATCACCCACACCATCAACCACACTGTCTCCATCAACACCATCAACCACACTGTCTCCATCAACACCATCAGCCACACTGTCTCCATCAACACCATCAGCCACACCATCAACACCATCACCCACACCATCAACCACACTGTCTCCATCAACACCATCAGCCACACTGTCTCCATCAACACCATCAGCCACACCATCAACACCATCACCCACACCATCAACCACACTGTCTCCATCAACACCCTCACCCACACTGTCTCCATCAACACCATCAACCACACTGTCTCCATCAACACCATCAACCACACTGTCTCAATAAACACCATCACCCACACCATCAACCACACTGTCTCCATCAACACCATCAACCACACCATCAACCACACTGTCTCCATCAACACCATCAACCACACTGTCTCCATCAACACCCTCACCCACACTGTCTCCATCAACACCATCACCCACACTGTCTCCATCAACACCATCAACCACACTGTCTCCATCAACACCATCAACCACACTGTCTCCATCAACACCATCACCCACACCATCAACCACACTGTCTCCATCAACACCATCAACCACACCATCTACATCAACACCATCACCCACACCATCAACCACACTGTCTCCATCAACACCATCAACCACACTGTCTCCATCAACACCATCACCCACACTGTCTCCATCAACACCATCACCAACACCATCACCCACACCATCAACCACACTGTCTCCATCAACACCATCAACCACACCATCAACCACACTGTCTCCATCAACACCATCAACCACACTGTCTCCATCAACACCATCACCCACACTGCCTCCATCAACACCATCAACCACACCATCAAGCACACTGTCTCCATCAACACCATCACCCACACCATCAACACCATCAACCACACTGTCTCCATCAACACCATCACCCACACTGTCTCCATCAACACCATCACCCACACCATCAACACCATCAACCACACTGTCTCCATCAACACCATCACCCACACTGTCTCCATCAACACCATCACCCACACTGTCTCCATCAACACCATCACCCACACTGTCTCCATCAACACCATCACCCACACCATCAACACCATCAACCACACTGTCTCCATCAACACCATCACCCACACTGTCTCCATCAACACCATCAACCACACTGTCTCCATCAACACCATCAACCACACCATCAACACCATCACCCACACTGTCTCCATCAACACCATCAACCACACTGTCTCCATCAACACCATCAACCACACTGTCTCCATCACCCACACTGTCTCCATCAACACCATCAACCACACCATCAACCACACTGTCTCCATCAACACCATCAACCACACTGTCTCCATCACCCACACTGTCTCCATCAACACCATCACCCACACCATCAACACCATCACCCACACTGTCTCCATCAACACCATCAACCACACTGTCTCCATCAACACCATCAACCACACTGTCTCCATCACCCACACTGTCTCCATCAACACAATCAACCACACTGTCTCCATCAACACCATCACCCACACTGTCTCCATCAACACCATCACCCACATCATCAACACCATCACCCACACTGTCTCCATCAACACCATCAACCACACTGTCTCCATCAACACCATCACCCACACTGTCTCCATCAACACCATCAACACCATCACCCACACTGTCTCCATCAACACCATCAACACCATCACCCACACTGTCTCCATCAACACCATCACCCACACCATCAACACCATTAACCACACTGTCTCCATCAACACCATCACCCACACCATCAACACCATCAACCACACTGTCTCCATCAACACCATCACCCACACCATCAACACCATCACCCACACTGTCTCCATCAACACCATCAACCACACCATCAACACCATCACCCACACTGTCTCCATCAACACCATCAACCACACTGTCTCCATCAACACCATCACCCACACCATCAACACCATCACCCACACTGTCTCCATCAACACCATCAACCACACTGTCTCCATCAACACCATCACTCACACCATCAACACCATCACCCACACCATCAACCACACTGTCTCCATCAACCACACTGTCTCCATGAACCACACTGTCTCCGTCAACACCATCACCCACACTGTCTCCATCAACACCCTCACCCACACTGTCTCCATCAACACCATCACCCACACTGTCTCCATCAACACCATCAACCACACTGTCTCCATCAACACCATCACCCACACTGTCTCCATCAACATCATCAGCCACACTGTCTCCATCAACACCATCAACCACACTGTCTCCATCAACACCATCACCCACACCATCAACCACACTGTCACCCACACCATCAACCACACTGTCTCCATCAACACCATCACCCACTCCATCAACTACACTGTCTCCATAAACACTATCACCCACACTGTCACCCACACCATCAACCACACTGTCTCCATCAACACCATCAACCCCACTGTCTCCATCAACACCATCACCCACACTGTCTCCATCAACACCATCAACCACACTGTCTCCATCAACACCATCAACCACACTGTCTCCATCAACACCATCAACCACACTGTCTCCATCAACACCATCAACCACACTGTCTCCATCAACACCATCACCCACACTGTCTCCATCAATCACACTGTCTCCATCAACACCATCACCCACACCATCAACCACACTGTCACCCACACCATCAACCACACTGTCTCCATCAACACCATCACCCACTCCATCAACTACACTGTCTCCATAAACACTATCACGCACACTGTCACCCACACCATCAACCACACTGTCTCCATCAACACCATCAACCAAACTGTCTCCATCAACACCATCAACCACACTGTCTCCATCAACACCATCACCCACACCAGCTCCATCAACACCATCAACCACACTGCCTCCATCAATACCATCACCCACACCATCAACCACACTGTCTCCATCAACACCATCAACCACACTGTCTCCATCAACACCTCCATCAACACGATCAACCACACTGTCTCCATCAACACCATCAACCACACTGTCTCCATCAACACCATCACCCACACCATCAACTACACTGTCTCCATAAACACCTCCATCAACACCATCAACCACACTGTCTCCATCAACGCCTTCATCAACACCATCAACCACACTGTCTCCATCAACACCATCAACCACACTGTCTCCATCAACACCTCCATCAACACCATCAACCACACTGTCTCCATCAACGCCTCCATCAACACCATCAACCACACTGTCTCCATCAACACCATCACCCACACTGTCTCCATCAACACCATCACCCACACTGTCTCCATCAACACCATCAACCACACTGTCTCCATCAACACCATCAACCACACTGTCTCCATCAACACCATCAACCACACTGTCTCCATCAACACCATCACCCACACCATCAACTACACTGTCTCCATAAACACCTCCATCGACACCATCAACCACACTGTCTCCATCAACACCATCAACCACACTGTCTCCATCAACACCTCCATCAACACCATCAACCACACTGTCTCCATCAACGCCTCCATCAACACCATCAACCACACTGTCTCCATCAACACCATCACCCACACCATCAACTACACTGTCTCCATCAACACCTCCATCAACACCATCAACCACAATGTCTCCATCAACACCATCACCCACACTGTCTCCATCAACACCATCAACCACACTGTCTCCATCAACCACACTGTCTCCATCAACACCATCCACCACACTGTCTCCATCAACACCATCCACCACACCATCAACTACACTGTCTCCATAAACACCATCACCCACACCATCACCCACACTGTCTCCATCAACACCATCCACCACACTGTCTCCATCAACACCATCAACCACACCATCAACTACACTGTCTCCATAAACACCATCAACCACACCATCAACCACACTGTCTCCATCAACACCATCAACCACACCATCAACTACACTGTCTCCATAAACACCTCCATCAACACCATCAACCACACTGTCTCCATCAACACCATCACCCACACCATCAACCACACTGTCTCCATCAACACCATCAACCACACTGTCTCCATCAACACCATCAACCACACTGTCTCCATCAACACCATCACCCACACCATCACCCACACTGTCTCCATCAACACCATCAACCACACTGTCTCCATCAACACCATCAACCACACTGTCTCCATAAACACTATCACCCACACCATCACCCACACTGTCTCCATAAACACCATCACCCACACCATCAACCACACTGTCTCCATAAACACTATCACCCACACCATCAACCACACTGTCTCCATCAACACCATCAACCACACTGTCTCCATCAACACCATCAACCACACTGTCTCCATCAACACCATCACCCACACCATCACCCACACTGTCTCCATCAACACCATCAACCACACTGTCTCCATCAACACCATCAACCACACTGTCTCCATAAACACTATCACCCACACCATCACCCACACTGTCTCCATAAACACCATCACCCACACCATCAACCACACTGTCTCCATAAACACTATCACCCACACCATCAACCACACTGTCTCCATCAACACCATCAACCACACTGTCTCCATCAACACCATCACCCACACCATCACCCACACTGTCTCCATCAACACCATCAACCACACTGTCTCCATCAACACCATCAACCACACTGTCTCCATCAACACCATCAACCACACTGTCTCCATCAACACCATCAACCACACTGTCTCCATCAACACCATCACCCACACCATCACCCACACTGTCTCCATCAACACCATCAACCACACTGTCTCCATCAACACCATCAACCACACTGTCTCCATAAACACCATCACCCACACCATCAACCACACTGTCTCCATCAACACCATCACCCACACCATCACCCACACTGTCTCCATCAACACCATCCCACCACAATATTTACAACACTGTCTCCATCAACACCATCCCACCACAACATCAACCACACTGTCTCCATCAACACCATCCCACCACAACATCAACAACACTGTCTCCATCAACACCATCCCACCACAACATCAACAACACAGTCTCCATGAACACCATCCCACCACAACATCAACCACACTGTCTCCATCAACACCATCACCCACACCATCTCCATCAACACCATCCCACCACAACATCAACCACACCATCTACATCAACACCATCAACCACACCATCTACATCAACACAATCCCACCACAACATCAACCACACCATCTACATCACTACCACCAACCACACCATATACATCAACACAATCCCACCACAACATCACCCATGCTGTAGACTCACCGTTGTAGATGCTGATTCGGTTGTCGGAGCAAAGTCCCCCATTGGGTGGGTCATACACCAGCATTTCCATGACAACCATGTGGTCAGTCAGGTCAGTTTGCAAGTGCCAGCGACACGCCTTCTTCATTCTGTATCGGAGAGGGAAGAATTCAGTCAGAGCTTTAGAAAAACACTGAGAGGTAGTGCCTTACAATTTTGGGAGATTTCTTTCCAGCATATACTAGAACAGACACATGAAGTTGTGTGACTTACTTCAACATCAGACCAGGAATAGACCAGGGAACGATGATGTACTGTGGATTCCGGGTCACAGCCACCTCATGCACAGCCTCACCTCCATCGCAGACAGATGGATCTGTACAGACAACGTGGCACCAGATACACAAGGTCAGCAAGCTTTGGCAGTTATAGAGACAGGGTTCAAGGTCATCAAGTATTGTCAGTTATAGAGACAGGGTTCAAGGTCAGCAAGTTTTGGTTGTTGTGGAGACAGGGTTCAAGGTCATCAAGCTTTGTCAGTTATAGAGACAGGGTTCAAGGTCATCAAGCTTTGTCAGTTATGGAGACAGGGTTCAAGGTCATCAAGTATTGTCAGTTATGGAGACAGGGTTCAAGGTCATCAAGTTTTGTCAGTTATAGAGACAGGGTTAAAGGTCATCAAGCTTTGTCAGTTATAGAGACAGGGTTCAAGGTCATCAAGTTTTGTCAGTTATAGTGACAGGGTTCAAGGTCATCAAGTTTTGTCAGTTATAGAGACAGGGTTCAAGGTCATCAAGTATTGGTTGTTGTGGAGACAGGGTTCAAGGTCATCAAGTATTGGTTGTTGTGGAGACAGGGTTCAAGGTCATCAAGTTTTGTCAGTTATGGAGACAGGGTTCAAGGTCATCAAGTTTTGTCAGTTGTGGACACAACGTTCAAGGTCATCAAGTTTTGTCAGTTATAGAGACAGGGTTCAAGGTCATCAAGTTTTGTCAGTTATAGAGACAGGGTTCAAGGTCATCAAGTATTGGTTGTTGTGGAGACAGGGTTCAAGGTCATCAAGTATTGGTTGTTGTGGAGACAGGGTTCAAGGTCATCAAGTATTGGTTGTTGTGGAGACAGGGTTCAAGGTCATCAAGTTTTGTCAGTTATAGAGACAGGGTTCAAGGTCATCAAGTTTTGTCAGTTATAGAGACAGGGTTCAAGGTCATCAAGTATTGGTTGTTGTGGAGACAGGGTTCAAGGTCATCAAGTTTTGTCAGTTATGGAGACAGGGTTCAAGGTCATCAAGCTTTTTTCAGTTATAGAGACAGGGTTCAAGGTCATCAAGTTTTGTCAGTTATAGAGACAGGGTTCAAGGTCATCAAGTATTGGTTGTTGTGGAGACAGGGTTCAAGGTCATCAAGTATTGGTTGTTGTGGAGACAACGTTCAAGGTCATCAAGTTTTGTCAGTTATAGTGACAGGGTTCAAGGTCATCAAGTATTGTCAGTTGTGGAGACAACGTTCAAGGTCATCAAGTATTGTCAGTTGTGGAGACAACGTTCAAGGTCATCAAGTATTGTCAGTTGTGGAGACAACGTTCAAGGTCATCAATAGAGACAGGGTTCAAGGTGATAAAGTTTTGTCAGTTATGGAGACAGGGTTAAATTGAGTCCTAGTGTTGTCAAGTATTGTCAGTTATGGAGACAGGGTTAAATGGAGGCCTAGTGTTGTCAAGTATTGTCAGTTATGGAGACAGGGTTAAATGGAGTCCTAGTGTTGTCAAGTATTGTCAGTTATGGAGACAGGGTTAAATGGAGTCCTAGTGTTGTCAAGTATTGTCAGTTATGGAGACAGGGTTAAATGGAGTCCTAGTGTTGTCAAGTATTGTCAGTTATGGAGACAGGGTTAAATGGAGACCTAGTGTTGTCAAGTATTGTCAGTTATGGAGACAGGGTTAAATGGAGTCCTAGTGTTGTCAAGTATTGTCAGTTATGGAGACA